CTAGGTTCCTGTTTTCTCATTGGCACAATATGGGAGTTAAGCTAAATAATATCAATAACAGTTCTATGTATCTGTATTCAATGTTTTCTAAAATGATTCTTAATTAGATTACATTATTCTACACATATTCTCTTTACTGTTCCTCCCAGTTATAAATCTCCATAACTATCAATAGCTCATCAAATCATTTCCTTACCTAGAAATGTCAACTGCCAACTCTTTACTTTTTCTGTAGTCTATCCGTCCATCCATCCATCCATCCATTCCTTCATTTATTTAACAAGCATTTACTGCATGTTACTACATATTAGGCCATATGCTAAAAGACATGGTTCCAACACTCAAGAATATACCACTCTAGTGGAAGAGACAGACATTCATGCCATTGATTAAATGAACCCATGAATACATATATAATGAATAACTTTGACAAATGTTATAAAGGACAAGTATAGATGCCTTAATCGCATATAATAGGGAGGTATGGCCTTAATGGGGGAATAGGCAAGGGGAAGTCTCCCCTAGAGCAGCACCTTGAACTGAGAGCTGATGGATTAGCGGGAGTCATGTAGACCAAGGGGCTGGTTTGGACCCTCCAAACATAGAACGGCAGCAACAAGCTAGATGGTACTTGTGGCTGCCTCGTGGTAATGTGCCAGAGGGTTTACCCATCAACTCTTCCAAAACCCTTGGTGAAGATAATCATCATTATTCCCTGCATTGACAAGAAGATATTCAGAAACACAAAAAGCAAAAATGCTAATTTAGATCCCAAAGAAAGTGCCTGCTGAACTTATATTTCTCCATTTCTCATCTTGTTAAGTCTTCCTATGTAGCACCTCTTCACTTTAACTTATATCTCGAGGGAGTCACTTGGCATCCCTGGTTCTTGTTTTTTTCATTTATTGAACAGGAGGCTAGGGTTATATGCATAATTTCTAAGGTCTCTCTCATATTAGGCATTTGATGTTTCTAGAAATACACCTGAGTTAGTGGGGAGGGTGAGAAGAGGCCATCAATCCATCAACACTTAAGGCTATATTTAAAAAACAAAAAATCAGCATGTATTCATAATATAAAAAACGTTGTAGGAATTGTAGCTATTGAAATAGAGGTTGGATAGAGCTAACATAGTTAATGCATTCAATGTAGAGAAACTACAGTGAAGCGTTTTCTTGGCAATTGAGGTATTTAAAGGCAAAGTAACTCATTTTGATCATAGACTGGTTTCTCTGCTTCTTATCCTCTATGGTTCTTCAATTATAATTCAGTGTAAAAGGATAAATGGCTGATAAATCCATTTCACTAAAAAAAAAACAAAGGTCATCCAAAAATATCAAGAAAAGGGCAATCCAGTTGAATCTGAACAAGCAATGGTAGAGGCAAGCTCAGCCTCCATGTGCCCTTGAGTGGCCTGCACTTGCCTCAGGATTCCTCCATCTTACACTGGTTCCTGGGACCCCTCGAGCTCTTAAGTCATTTGGAGCAAGCGACACCAGAATTTCTAGGACCCTGACATCTGTCAGTCTGAATGCAAAGCCTTACATTTCAAATCAGCCAGCTCCTTCTAGAGAAGGAAAAAGGACAATAGCTGCTATTTCTTAGCATGCATAATCAATGCTGCAGGGGTTGCTAGGCAACAGGCAGAAAGGCTTCAAACATCCCTGAGTGTCTCCAATGGAGGAAGAGCAGCCCTGGCAGCCACTCCTCAGAGGTGACAGGCTGTGCAGACTCTGGAAGCTGTGACCAATTTGTTTCATTCCTTAGAAAAATCCCTTTATTTGGTCAGGACTGAACCATGGCTCATTAGATAGTCTTTGAGGTGTCCAATGGGCCCACCGACCTAAAAATGAGCAGGTCAGGCTGGCGAGAGGCAGCTCCAGGAAAGGTCCATGTGTTATTTTGATCCAGTTCATCCTAGAGTCTATGGAAGATCTGACATGTTCCTTGTATGGCTGCTGCCTCTGGATTCTAGAAGTTAAAACAAGCATCCTCTTGGAAGCCTGTAGTCATTCCAGCAAAGCCTCTGATTTCAACAAATATTTACAGTCAAGGTCAGTGAGATGAGACGTCTTAGGTGTGCAACCTTGGAATAAGTGTTTAAGCTGTGGGCATGTTGTCCACTCTACTTGAGATAATAGTTTCATTTGAATTTCAAGAAGGAGACTAGCAAAGAGAATAAGGCAGGATTTGATAAAGGGGCAAATCCATTTTGTTTTATTTTATTTAGCAGTGTTGATGAAAGAGCAAACATTCTTCATAGGTCATTAATTTGTAAACACTTATTTGGCAAAGCCAGGTAGTATATGAGGTATAGGTTCTGGGTTTGGGTCACAGGTAGAATTAGGGCTATGATGCGGATTTAAACCATAGAGAAGCCTGACAGTGGTGATGGGAGATAGGCCAGGTAAAAGCATGCCATGGTCAGGTCAACTGGCTACACTGCTGTCACTGGCTATTCTTTCGTCATTACTAGCCCAAGCCCTGATGTCCTATCTTAGCATGTGCTTGGGAGGAAATTGCCGGAAACCAATTCCAGCATGTTCAGCAGGGCTGAATCATCTGGAGTGGCAAGGGCATTTCCCCAAACCTGAATAGGATACATTAAATTGATTGTTTGCTGCCAGACAACTAAAGGGCATCTTAATTTACATAGTATTGCCTCCTACTGGCCAAACACATAAACAACCGTAGGCTAATTCCCCCATTCTGACAATGCTTGTGTATACCCTTTGAAGTGTATATCTCTGCCTCACCTCAGGACAAGTTGTGTTAATAAAAAGCAAGGGGTCCTGAGATGAGGGGACCTTAGACTTTAGACCAGAGAATTTAGGACTTAGATCTTAGTTTCTTTTAAGCTAAACTCCTCTGACCCCCAAGTGCCTTTCAAAATTATATTTCACCTCTGGACTCCTATTTAATCTACGCACAGCCTTCTCCAGATTTCCTGAACCCTTATTGATGCTGGAACAAGAACCCCAGCAGGAAATGTATCATATGAGTTTAGGGTACCCTAGATTTAGCTATGCAACATCCTGTCCTTAAGGACTTTGCAAGAAGTACTGAGAGGCAGGCGCAGAATAAGGAATGATATGAAGATGAAAGGCTATACCAAGGAATTTTGTGTATCTGTCTCTATACTAGCTGATGTCTCTCAGCTACTCCTCCACTGTCACCTAAGATTCCCTAACCTCCCTGGATTTTTTTCACCTTCAAAGCCTCTCACCTTATGAGCCCATAAAGTGAATTCAGAGTCTGAAGGCCCAACCTAGTCCCCTTGTGGCCCCCAAACAACAGTAGGAACCATGGGCCAGAACATAAATCCACGCTCTTTAGTCCCCTTGTCTATAACACATGGCTGGGTCAGAATTAGATGTTCCTTAAGCTTCTTTCAGTTCTAACATTTGATCAGTGTATGAATCTATAAAAATAGAGGCACCTTTTGGTCTTATTTATCCAAAGGAAAAAAAAAGATAGCAGGAGAAGAAAGCAAAGACTGCAGATTTAATGCTGCCAAGTGGTCTGAACAATTTGTGCTTAAAAAATAGCAAACTTTTTGAGTAAATGAAAGAAAAGAGGAAGAAATCACAGCAACAGGGATTAAATATCCCAAAGTCACTACAGGATTCTTACTTTACACCTTGATGCATTTGACCTCAGCTTTCTCCTCCTCACTCCTCTCCTCTCTTTTCTACTGTCTCACCAACCCCATTTGCCTTTCTTAGTGAGATAAGGTTTACTGGATAGCTATTACATTTCCCATCCTTAGAAAGGTCTGACCTTTATTTACCCCAAACTGCAAGTTTAAGGAGCCTTTCCTGAGAGTCTAGGAATGCTGATGCCACTGGGGTTACTTACTTTTGATGATGAGAAAAGCAAACCCACAGTTTGCATTTCAGTGGACTTTAACAGAAATTGTGTTTAGTCTGAAGGATGGGTAAGTTCAAGAGTAATTTTCTCTCTCCTCAGTTACCATTATGTATATGCTGAATTATTTTAATGCTAAGTAAAACAGTAATGAAATACACATTTGCTTTTAAAAAATCAAATTGATCTGCTCACTAGTAAACAAATGCTATTCGTATAAATATTCTGTATTTGGCAGAAGCAAAGAAACAAAAAGCCAAAATTCAATCATCTTATATTAAGCTAAAGAATTGCATTTTAGTACATTAGCCATGTCCATATTTATTTGCCACTTAATTGATTTTATAAATAGATGCCTTTTTTAAATGTTTTACAAATGTTATTCAATACCATGGTGTTGTTGTTTTTTGTTTTGACAATGCATATGTAAAAGATTTACAGAGTCTTTTGTGTTACTTTTATTACTTCTTGTGTCTTAGAGAGCTCAGCGTAAATTTTATCCCCTTCAATAATGTTAATCTTATTGAAGACCAGGTCTCCTTTCTGAGTTTCTGAGAAAATGGCAATGATAAAGGACTTTAGGGCTTCTTTATTTTAGTCAAACCTTGTATCTGCTAGGGTGGCAGAATCCACAAGAAATGCCACTCATCCCAGAATAAAATCACACATATACTACATACAATCCTGGGGCCTTGGAAACAGTTGGGAGGGACAAGGTGTAACAGAAGATGTCAGTGGAACAGAGGCTGAGAGAGGGAGTGAATTCATAGTCTCCCTTTCAGAACCTCAACGTGAGAACAGGTGCAGCTGAGCTGGACACAAGCACCAAGCAATCAGGGGAGACAGGCTGAGTCTTCAAGCCTTAGCTGGTTGGTTTCTGTCTGAAATTTAGTTAAAATTGACTTGAAAGAGTAGCTCAGAGCTAGTTACAGCCTTTTTAGGTGCCCCTAGAAAGAACCTAGGACACTTGGATATGCCCCAAATATCCTTCCCACTGTCCACTTAGTTAAAAGAGTTTGAGCACATCCTTCATAGCAGACATGCTCCTGAATTGGCCACTAAAATAAAAAAGTAACTCTTTCAACACATTACTGAGACCGTGGATACCAAGACATTCTGGAGTGTTCTCTTACCTTCACAGCCACCAAGATCTTGTCATGCTCAGGACAGAGGTTATAGCATTCAGCTAGGAACACTTTTCCAAAGGCCCCTTCGCCTAGCTCCCTTTTCAGAACAATGTTATGCCGCTTGATGTGCTGAACAACTGTAAAACAAAGAGAATGGAAATTAGAATCAAAGCACACAGAGGGGAGGCTGAGGGTGGGGAGTCTCAGGGTCCATGTCTGGGCTCTTCTCTGCACAAAGCAAAGCAGAGGAGAAGCCCAATGTCCAACCTCACAGTTGGCTTGCTCTCCAGAGCTCATTTATTGTCCTTGATAGAAGTGAAGTAGGGACTTGCCTGTTGGCTGCAGAAGGTCATTAAATGGACTTTACTGACTAGGAAAGGGGAGAAATGCGAAAGAAATGCACCTTAATGGCAGGTCTCTTTCTTACAAGCCAGATGCTTTGCATCTATTTGTCAGTCACATGTCTAGTGGGGAAAGGAATTTGCGTCAATCATTTCCTTCCTAGGTTGGCTACTAGTGATATATCCTTAACAAGATATTGTTTGGCTTTGCCTGGTTTTGAACCTACATAAATGGAATCATACTATATGTATTCTTCCATATCTTGCATCATTCATTCAACAATGTCTTTCAGATTAAATTTTATTGAGTTCCAGTGTGTGTAGTAGTGATTATATTGCTTTTACTGCTTTATAATATTCTGTGGGAGGACTGTACTGCCATTTGTTTATCCATTCTATGTTGATGAAGATGTTGTACAGTTTCTTTTTAGATACAACTTGATATAAAATGCAAGTGGTGATTAAGGTTTTACTTTAATAGGATTTTTCCCCTGGTAACTCATGTGGTTTGAAGCAATGATGGTTTCCACAGGCCTCTGGGAACTCAGGGTGATAAAAATCAAAAGGTCTTTTATGAGCAACAATATTAATGAGTCTAGGCATGTATATTAATATCTCATGCTCTGGTAACAACTCCCGGATTGAAGGGGAGAGAAATGTGTTCATTAGGTAGAGTGCCCATATAAAGAGATAAATGTAATTCTTGCAGAGAATTAGCTGCCCTATTTAAATCTAATATTTAACTCCATGGTTGTCACATGTTCACTGGGAATTAAATAGCCACTTGATTTACTTTACATTCTAACCAGATCAAGGCAAGTATTTAACTTTTTTATCCCATTTAATTTACATTTTCTTTTTTAAAACATTTTCTAAGGAGGAGAAAAAGTTGGTAGGAAATAAGTTTATAGAGCTATGGCAAAAGACAAAATTTCATCATCTCCAAAACTAAAATTGATGAGACCAGTTTTCCCATGTTGACCTTGAAAGCAGTAAATGCCTCTTTTCTTTAAGAAATGGCTAGTTTGTATTAATTTCCTTTGTTGTCTTGGAAAATAACAGATTACATGAATGGTGGCCTTTTGCCAATGTATTCTCCTGAAGCAGAGTTAATCTCTTTTATAAAACCTATAGCCCAGGGGCACAGGTAACCATTTGTGTTTGTATCTGCATTCCTGACAGTGCGTCACAGTGCTTTGCATATGGTTGGTGCTGTAAAATATTTGTTGAAAAATGGGCTGAATCATAATAAACAGCAGGCAAACCCTGTATAATCATATTATCTCAGTCAATTGACAATCCTATTGAGTACGAAAGCAATAAAGAATTCTCTGAGATGTCAGCAGCAGGGAGAACGACTAACCCGAGCTAAGTATTTCTTCCCATTCTCCTCCGAAGAGCATCAGTACTTATCCCCACCTGCCTCCTTCCTGTTTCCTGAAATAACCATGGAAGTCCTTGGTACCCTCTCAGGGGATCACTTCTTAATCAACCTCTCATCCCAGCTTTGCTCATAAATGTCCCAGGCTGAGTCAATGCTCACCCCTTCACCTCCCTCACAGACCTTTCTTGGAGCCTTCTGGGATGGCTACCTATCATCCATGAGCTCTCCTTAAATTTCCCTCTACCTCCTTGATTCAACCGAAACCTTGGCTATGCCCTGAGGACATCCATGCCTTTCCCCTACAGCTTTCTCAAATGCAAGCCATCCCCACCCCTTATCTGCAGGTACTTCAGGCCCTTGTGTGTGGTTTCTGGCCATTACTCTCTCTCTCTCTCTCTCCTGCTGGAAAGAAATTTATAGAGCTATGGCTAAAGACAAAATTTTCTAAAGCATCTAGCTATCCTAAAGCATCTATCTTAGGGAGCCAGCAGCCTATATCACCTCTGCCCCTCACTGCTGACATCTTGGTTGCTCCTCTCACACACTGAGCTCTTGGCTGACACATTCCTCCTCCACCCCACCAGTGTCATCGTTCTCAGGGTGCAGGGCACAGAGAATGGTTCAGTCACTTGCCTAATCTGTAGAAACACTGGGCCGCCATTTCTTCTCCAGTTCAGAGGTGAGGCTCTGTGAGAGTTTGGCTGAGTGCATGGCATTAAGGTGACTTTTTCTAGGACCAAGACTTTCTTAATACAGGAAGCAATGCTCTGATTCTGGACAAGCTCCTTATCTCATTGTTGACTAGCATTTTGAATATCACTGCCTTAAAGAGCCCTATGTATTTGGATTCATTTATACAAAATATCCTGAGGGACGTGAATCTAAGGACTCTATAACAAATAAACCATCAGGTAAGCATGTCGATTCTTTACACACATTCTTTCCCTGAGGTCAGTCAATTCTCTTCTGAATCTTAGAGACCTGATTAAAATCACATCAAACCCAACACGAATAACTAATAAAAAATAAATAAATGCCCAAACTCCAGCATAAATGGGTTCCTAGATTTGAAGGGAAAAGTTGATTAAAAAAAAGCTTTATCAATAAAGTTTCCTTTTTCACCTTGCCAAAAGAAAAGGGGGCATCAAAAAGAGGTATATGTGGTGTAGGAAATATACTGCCAAACACATGTGGTCTGCAGACTGATCTATGTACATCTATATATTCAAAATAAAGTGTGTGATTACATTATTGTGCAAATAAATTTATTTTGTAAAATCAGGGAGAAACTGATAACTAGCAATAACAATCAAGATGAATGGCTGTGAACTGTCTAGCCATCTTTGTCATTAATGAAATTTTTCAAAGTGGAAATTTGGTGCCCTTTGTCTTTTGCTTCATGTTGGACCAGAGCTGAGTAGATTTCCGGTTCTGTATTAGCATTACATTACAGCCGCTGAAAAATGCATTTTGTCATAAAGAAGCTTCTGTAGTTTACAGAGATACCGGCAGTTTCAGATGGTCTAAATTGAATTCCTGGTATTGATATCACCCAGAAGTAAATTTTATACACACACACACACACACACACACACACACACAGGCTATAGATATAACCATTACCACTGAACCTAAATATAAATAATAAATAAATAATTAAATCCCTGTCTACTCAGAGTTGAAGTAAGAAATGTATCCTTCCCGTTTCCCCAGAAATGAGGTTTCATAGAAAACCTTGACCCAGTCGACATGTCCTGCTCAGCACACGGACCTTGAATTGAGATACTTCTTGAGTTTCTCATATATGCCAGCTACTAAGTGATCTGCCTCTCAAAAGAAAGATATTTTAAAGTTTTGAACAGGAAGGTAAAAAGTAATATGGATTCAGAAGATAATATTCTGTATTAGGAGCAATCTCTCTTCTTCTCTACAGACCTAAATGTAGGGCCAGTTGCCTACGTGGTTCTCTCTCAGACGGCTGGGTGCTGTGATGGGAAGAGAATTTAAAGATCTGTGAGGCTGACTCCCTCCTGTTTAACAGCTGACCAGTGAGACTTGAGGCAGGACAGTGACTTCCTCAGGGCCATACAGCTAGGGGGTGGCCCAACTACGACTCCGGTGTCCTGACCTTCAGAAGAGCCACCCTTGGACTCTGTAACACAGGCCCATTTGAGACTGAAGGCAGTGAGCGTCTCCTGAGATTAAAATAGTAACAGGTGTTTCATTTAGTTAATTATCTTTTCCAGTAGAAATGTTTCAAACATTCACGTTTATCGTCTGAAATGGGCCAAACATCTCATAATGAAGAATTTCATTAAAAAACAGCAAATAAACATAAAATATGAGTGAGAAAAGCAGGATATAAAAGTTAAATACCTTAGAAAGTGCTTAAGTTTGATCTGAATAAAATTAATAAAAATTATTTCTATCTATCTTGATGTCTGTTTCCTGGGTAGCATATTAAAACAGGTAAAACCATCTACCTTGTAAAAATAGATTTTCATAAAAGATGGAAACTATGTTTTTGAACTTCATCTACATTTTTATTAAGATACAAGTTGGTATTAAAATGAAATAAATGCAATTAAGACCACAGACATAAAATGCACCAGGACAAGACACGGCCAAATATTCATAAATAATATTAATGATGAAATAAAATGGAATAATACTGAGCCATTCTTACGCACTTTTCAGCAAAAATTCCCAATGTGCATTACCATCAATTAATTTTCATATCCTTCTGAATGAGGTCAATAGTCACATTTATTTTACAGATGACACCACTATTAATTGACTTACTTGCGGTCATAGAGTCATCCACTTATCCTTTTCCAAGTGTTATTTCTAATGAAATGAGAGGGAGAGAAGTGGGGGCCTAACACGTGCTGATTGCTATTATGAGCCAGAAAATGTGTTGAGAGATTTACAGGGGTTATCAATCTTCATAGCAATCTAGTAAGGTATCCCTATCTCCATTTTTTGATTAAAGTAAAAAGAAGAGCATCAGCTGAGCTACCTAACTCATCCAAGTTTCTACCATTGGTAACAGGCAGAGTTTGAGTTCTTTTCACTACAACACTCTACCTTTCCTTGGCCTTCTTATAAAAAAGCAAAGTGAAAGTGTATGAGCTCAACTTTGCCCACCTAGGGAATTGTGAGTCTACTTTTAGCAATTTAGTTAAGCAAAACTTTGTTAAGCACCTATTATGGCCTGGGCATTTTTCTAGGGCCTAGATAAAAGGATGAGTAAAATAGACCCTAATTTATTGAAATTCTTCAAAAAAATCAAGAAACTCACAACCTAACAGGGCAGGAAAAAATATGTATATCTATAACACCTTACACCTTTGCTTCCTTCATAAAAGATTTTAGGTACTTTACATAACCCTGCAAGGAAAAACAAAATTTA